AAAAAAAAGAAAAAACTTGGAGTAATTCTGTCTTCTTTAATTACTGCATGTACAGTGCACATGTACATTCACTCTGATTGCTCTTTATGGGTTGAAAAGGGTTCGTAAAGTACAGCCATACAGTACATGTTTCTTTTAAATGTCAGAACTCTGTTTACTAAGTTGTTTATTTGAGGAGGACCACTTCATTGAAGGTGGATGTTGTTTAAAATCAGGGAATTATTTACCATTTTGATGTCTTTTTGTGCTCTGGCTGCATCCTCCTTGGCTTGATCATAAGTAAGACTCTTCTCCTTGGCTGTCCACATGCTCATATTGTGAAGAACCTAGGAGAAACAAAGGAAGTGACAACAACATTTACGTGTATCATGTGCATTATTTCCTTGTATCAGCCTGGGTTTCATTAAAGAAACGTTTNGGGGGGGGGGGGGGGGGGGGGGAGTGATTGTCACAGACAGCAAAACTATTTGATCTGATCTTCTTTGGAAAAAAAAACTTTCTGCTTTATGGCCAAACCGGTCATTCAAGTCAACCAGTCAAATCAAAATTTGTCCACACAGCCAGTCAATTTCCCCAATGCCTGGCACTTAATGAAACCCATGAAATATAACATAATAGGCAAAACATTAATGCTGTTCAAGGCAAACCTACCTGTCTTACATCTTGGTTGGCACCAATTATAATCTGGTCCATGGCCTGAGGTGGAATTTTGAGCCCTTCCTTGAATGCAATGCTCATCATAGCACCCTGAAACATAAAACAATTTACTGTGGAAATTTTGTTATCACATTGTGTATAATGAGACACACAACTTGTCCTGTAAGCGATAAAAGGCACATAGAAGAAGAGAGAGGGAGAGAAGAATGGAGGTAGGGATTGAAAAAGGGAGGCGGGAAGGGAGAAAATGAAAGAAGAAGGCAAAGGGGGAAGGAGAGAGGAAGGAAAGAAGGAATCTTGAATGAACCAGAGACAGGGAGAAAGGGACCAGGTGAATGAATACATGCACAAGGTGAAAAAAATGTTTAGGATGTACCTTGATTTGTTCAACTCGAGGTCTCTGAAATCTCAAGTCAAAACAGTAATTTGCCAAGCTGCGAATCTTCTGACTGTTTCTATCATTGCACATGCAAATGACTGGTATCTTGGTGTTCTTTATCAGTGATATTAATTCCTGTGGAGATAATTAAAACTAATAAAAAAAAATAATAATGTAAAAGTATGTCACATTATAATGAATAACATACATTTGCGAAAAGAAATTAATGAGGGATGCCATCCTTCTTGCTTCTGCAATTAATTTAAACCAAACAAAAGCCTTGGAAATCCTTAACAAAAACAAAATTATTCTGACAATACAACTTCGTAAAAGTTTTTAGCTGGGCTTATAAACAGAGGGGCTTATATCTGAGGGAGCTTATAACCAGAATTGAAAACTGTTTCAAACTTTTTATTATAAACGTAATCATTATTATTTATTCTTTTCTTATGCTTTTTTATTCTTTTTTTCCTTTTTTTCTCTTTTTGCACCATCCTCCTAGATCCGCCCCTCCGAGGGGCTTATAAGCGACGGTTTACGGTTATTTGTATTAAAAGATATAAAATGTACAATCTTTCTTCTGATAATAAACCCTTTAGTCTTTTACTTAAATGTTGCAACAATAATTTATGCCCAGAGAGTTTTAAACTGTAGAACCTGTGCTGTGTTTCACATCCTTATGTCCTTTGAGAGTTTTACTATTTGGGGTATTCTTGTACACACAGCTAAACAGTGGTTGTTTGTATGTGGCTGGGAACATGACTGTTATAGTCTGCTACTAATGGATGTTTGTGAATCTACATGTATGGGGGTGTACATTAGCTCAACTGTTCATTGTATTTATTGTTAGTACTGTACATGTACATGTACATTCAGTTGATGCTACAGTTGTATAGTGTAAGTTTCCTTACCTGCATTCCTCCTCTGTCTTCATTGCCTGCCATTCCATCGACTTCATCCATAAGCAAGACATGCTTCCTGGGATCTGCCTTGTGACCTATTGTAACACAAATTAATACACATGCCACAATCAACAAACCATGTACAATCTGTCGTAAGTGCCAAAGGAAATAATTATGTGGAAACCACTGTGAAAATTTATCCCCTTTTCCTAGTTTTTCCTGCTTTTCATCAGTGTACACGTACTTGTAAGTAAGAAAATGTACATGTAGGTTCTACATATCAAAAAAATATGGTTCACATGTACAAAATGTGGTCCAACATAGTTGATTCACGGCCAGTCTAAGCAAATGTTTTGTCAGTACAGGTGTATGCAGGGGTTTCATGAACGGCTGCACAACGGGCAAATTGACTGGCTGTGCTCAGAACAATTTTGCCTGCCTGGTTTGACCACCCAGAGAAAAGTTTTTCCCTTAGAGAAGTTCAGTTCAAAACAATCATGTTGCCTGCCTGTGAAAACCTGTTGTCTTCCTGCTAAAAAAATTTACTTAATGAAACCCCTGAATATGTAACTAGGTACATGTAGGTAGGAACAATAGATGGATAAACTTTATTTATTTTTGTTCCTGCTTGCCCTCTCAGCTATACAATAAAAATGATTGAATATGTGCTATTACCAGGTAGAAATCCATCCATGGTTTTATTGCTCAGTGACTGAGATATGTGTTCCTCCAGTGTCTTCTTGTTTCTTGTATCACTAGCATTCATTTCAATGTAGCTGAAGCCAAGCTCCTCACAAACAAGTGTTGCAGTTGTTGTTTTGCCCACCCCTGGGGAGCCAGACAGGAGAGCTGCTCTCTGAGATGAACCATCTTGATCTTTCTTGAAAAATGAAGCTGTGCAGCAAAGAAGAATCACAATCCATCAGATTACATTGTAATATTTGTCTTAATTTATACTGATCTCTTGAACTGTAACTTATGCTGTATTGTCACCAAACAATTGGTGATCATCATCATCATCATCATCATCATCATCATCATCATCATCATCATCATCATCAACAACAACATTGTCGATGCACAAGTTTGTTATCAATACTTAATCATGTTGCCATGGCAAAATTGGCATCAGAAATTGGCATTAATAAACTCCATGTCTTCTTAAAGCCAGGTCTATTTTCTACCACATGTAGAAAAATATAATGCAATCTGATCTGCAGCTTGTCATCAAGGACATGAAACCACAATGACCATTGGTTAGGCATACATGTGCAGTTGAACTGCTCAATAAATGTACTTTATCTCAAGAGTACATAAAGTGATTAAACTGTAGGTTATCTACAATTTTAATTATCAGAATTGATGTTGTCCTGGAAACTGCTCACAATGTTATATTACATGCATATACCACTAACATTTTGAAAAATACATATAAGTTAAAAAGAAGGGCAAATATATAATATATTTTTTAATTTCACTGCTCTGTTTGCAGTTCTACTTACATTTAGTTGATGGTTTCTTTCTGTTCTTCTCCCAGTCTCTCAGCCAGTTCATCAGCTTTCGCATGTTACTCTTGTCACCTTGCTGGCCAATAATCTGCTTCACCGAGCGTGGGCGATATTTGTCAACCCACAACAAACTTGGTTCTCCTAAACAGTTAAAGACAAAAATGAGTAGTTGAACGACTTGTATGTGTATGTATTTAGTTCGTATTTACTGTGTATGTATTTAGTTATCAGGACATTTTGTTGGTCAAAAATAAGTATCTTGACAGACAGTTGGATGTGAAGATCCATGCAAATGCGATATGTGGTCCATAGGAAATTCCAAGGGAAAGGGGTTCTCAAAAGCCAATATTTCTTTAAAGGAAAGTGTACAGCAAAACTAGAATTTCCTGGGAGAATCCAATAAGGGCATCAGTCAAATCTAAAAAAATCTCAGTGGGAGGAGCATCAATATTCTCTGGAACATCACAACATACCTTTTGACGCAGGTGATAATGTGGGTGTCTGTGTGGCAGGAGATGACACTGATCGTTCACTAAGCTGCGATGATTCCCCTTCGAGCTGTTCCTTTCCTTGACTCAATTTTTCAGCTTCTTCACTTTTTTCTTTCTTCTTTGACTTCTTTTCCTTACTGGGAGGTTCATAGCTGATCTTCTTCCCTGGTTTTGTCTTGACTAGTTCAAAGAGCCCATCCTCATCTAGCTGTGTTGTCCCACACTGCTTAGCCTTAAAACAACAAACAAACAAACAATTTAACAAAATACAATCTCTCTCCACCACCTATCACAAGCAGTTAGTTTCAATAGGGTGATACTTTATTATTAAGAACTGTTTTATTTTTGCTTTTGGGTCAGTATAAATTTTTTGTTGTTGTTGTTTTTTCTTTTTTTTGTTTTGTTTTGTTTTGTTTTTTTGGCATGGGACTATCTGACTACATACAGTAGGTACAATAAAATGTAAAAGATGCTTGGGCTGTCCCTTACCTTAGAAAGTTTGCTCTCACCAGCATCCCGTCCCACCACAATATAACTTGTTTTCTTGCTCACCGACTGAGTCACCTTGCCACCGTACCTCTGAATCAAATCCGCAGCGTCATCTCTCTCAATACTTTCCAGCACTCCAGTAATAACAAATGTCAGTCCCTCTAGGCAGTTTTCTTCTCCCTATAAATGCAGCCAAATAACATTGATTTTGACCACTGCTTGGCAAAAAAAAACACTAGGATTTGGTGTGGCTCCACTGTACATTCACCACTATTGAGGTATGTGTACACATGCATTGAGTTGTAACTAGTTGTAAGTACTTGCAAATTACACAAGTAACTGTTTTTAATGTAGACAACTTGCCTGACTTACTTAATGTTGAATTATCATCCTTGCTACATTTGAACATGATTGATACTCACCTCAGGGACTGGTTTTGAGCCAAGAGCTCTGGGACCATCCCTTGCCATGAAACTGCGATAATTTGATTTTTTCTTCTCTAAAGATGGAGGAACCTCATCTGGTTCATCAGATTTAGGTGTCTTCGGAGTTTTCTCGTTTGGAGATTCCTTTGCAACTCCTTTGTCCTCAGATTTCTTTGGAGTAACAGTTTTCTTTGGACTCCTCTTAGTGTCTCTACCTGGAGTCTCAGGGACAGCAGTAGTTGCTTTTGATGCTACAGTTGCGGCTGCTTTAGCTGCAAGCCGACTAGCAGGTGTGGTCTTGGGAACACTCTCCGGTGTCTGTGAAGGGTAAAGTATGTATGCTAATTAAAACAACAAGACATCTGAAAATAACTATACAACAAGCAGATGATTATGAACATGCCACTACATACAGACTTTTATCTTAGAGGTCAACAATTCAATATCTAAATATTAGTCTAACTACAGTACAGCTATGTTCAAAGAGCAGGCTAACATCACAAACCAGCAAAAGATAACCTGAGAATAACTTGTCGTGCCCAAATAGACATTGCAGCAACAGTCAGTCAGTCTTCAAGTCTCTGACTTCTAATGATTAATTTATCCAAAAATTACATTATTGAAAGCCCAGTTGACTTCTGCACCTGCTAAAAGAATTTATATTGTTCAAACAACAATTAGATGTACAGTTGATGAACAAATTCACAGACCTTCTTCTTTTCAGGAGATGGCTTTTTTTCTTCCCGTCGTGGGGTAGATGAGTCTTCTTTTCTTTTCTTGGATGGCTGTTCTGTTGCTCTACCATTCAGATCTTCATTTTCCCTCCGTCTCTTCTCTTTTCCATGTAGTGACTCCTGATCTTCATTTGCAAGCGCTCCCCCATTTTCTTCTGGCTCATCAGATCTCTGTGAGGAGAGAAAAAAATAATCTTATATGTGTATGTTCCATTCCAGATGACTGATAAGACACTGCATGTACATGTTCATGGCCACTGACTTTTGACTTTTCAAAAGATAAACAGGTGACAACCAAACTGTCAGCTTGAAAACATTGCTCATGGTAGCCACATCTCATCTCTTACTTGCATGTATCCATGACTTCACTCATTCAGTTACAGTATTTATCAGAATTTAAGAAAAAATGTCAGTGCCATCTGTAGCGTAGTCAATTTTAGTGTTTGACAAAGAACTTTGCAGTGAACTCAATAAAGTGCTGTTGCATTGTCATGTGGCAGACAAATGGAATTCAGTGTGTGAGAACTACATGTATAACTAGGTACTACATGTATTCATTGTAGTTTTACTGTAGTAAGATTTAGTATCTTATGTAATTTTTAAGATTTTTTGCTCAGAGGCATTTTTAAATTAGTTTAATATAATTATATAGCTACATAACTCATTAATTCAAATTGAATTTTATTGCCATTAAGGTCCAAGAAGTACATAATCAGTTGAGAGTAAATTTTCCCTTTACACCTTAGCAATATGTATATCTGTACATGCTTCAACTTACCACCCTGTGAATACAGTTGCTTTCAATCTCAGAATGATCAAAGTGGACTCTGCTTGCAGAGTAGCAATTTACAAACCTGTTTCCTCTTTGCAGCAAAAACTTTTCGCGATTCTCTTTCAGCAGGAGTTGAACCAAAGAAGTCAAGAGCAGACGTCAGTTTCTGTGGAGTTTCTTTAGGCTTTACAGGGCTAGATAGAGAAAAACAGTATTCAGAACTTAAAAAAAAAAACACTCACAGAGACATTAGCAAACTGAACTAGGTCAAGTTCAGACTAACTTAGTTTGAAACAAATTGACCTACAGTGTAAAGACCAAATTGACCTATAACATATTTAAGATTCCAAGGAAAAATAAACAACTTACATGTATTATCACACAATTTTAAAGGAGCTCAGTCCCGGTTTGCACATTTTGAAAAGTTTAGCCTAAATTTTTCAGATTCGTCATTTGCAATCTGCGTCAATCTTCGCCATCCTTGACCATCCTTGTTCCTCTTTCGTTTATTGTTATCTCTTTGATGTTTTTCTATCTTAGAAAACTATTATTTTCAGGTTTCCTTCCATTTAAAGGAGATTTTGTACATGGCTAAAAAAAAGACAAAACACCGTGACTGAGCTCCTTTGAACAAATTTGCTTCTAAGTACTAACTACATGTACATGTAACATAAAAATATCAAGAAAAGCAAAATTGAAAGAGAGCCCTCAGTAACTGTTCAAAAGTAAACTAATCACATTGTACCTCTCCTTAACATGCACAACCTCCTTCCTTGTTTTTGTTTCCATTTGCTTGGCAGATTTCTTTAGCGTCTGAGGTACAACTTCCTCCTCTTCTGCAGAATACCAACAGATACACTTTTTAAAACCATCATTAATACAAACTTGTACAAGGCATGTTAGTAAAATCCAAGAGAAAAGACCAACAATCTTGTTTTGGAGGGGGGGGGGGGGGGG